TTTGAAAGGCAGAGGTACAGAGAGAAAGGAGAGAGAGAGAGAGAGAAAGATACCTTCCATCTGCTGGTTCACTCTCCAGATGGCCACACATTCAGAGCTGGGTCCAATCGAAGCTAGGAGCCAGGAGATTCTTCTGGGTCTCCCATGTAGGTGCAGGGACCCAAATACTTGGGTCATCCTTTGCTGCCTTTCCTAGCACATTTTCGGAAGCAGAGCAGCTAGGACGCGAACTGGAGCCCACACGCAATGCTGGTGTTGCAGGAAGCGGCTTAACCCACTGCACCACCACAGCGCTAGCCCCTCCCACGTTCATTTCTGGACTAGTTACCATGGCTTCTAGAGTTGGACTTTGTTTCTGTTTCCTGTGGGTGCCATAACACATTACTGAAACCAGCTTAAAGCAATAGCAGTTTTGGAGCTGGCGCTGTGGTGTAGCGGGTAAAGCCACCACCTGCAGTGCTGTCATCCCATATGGGTGCAAGCTCAAGTCCCAGCTGCTCCACTTCCGATCCAGCTCTCTGCTGTGTCCTGGAAAAGCAGCAGAAGATGGCCCAAGTCCTTGGGCCCCTGCATCCACGTGGGAGACCTGGAAGAAGCTCCTAGCTCCTGGCTTCGGATTGGTGCAGCTCCGGCTGTTGTGGCCAATTGAGGAGTGAACCAGTGGATGGAAGATTCTCTCTCTCTCTGCCTCTCCTTCTCTCTCTTTGTCTGTAACTCTGACTTTCAAATAAATAAATAAATCTTAAAATAAAAAAAAATTACCAGTTTTGTTCTCTTGTTGTTTCCGGCAGAGAGCCGTACTCTCTTCAAAGGCTGTAGGGGAGCCAGCCCTCATATGTGGCTGCACCCTTCCTGTCCCAGCCTTTGTGCTCAGCTTGCCTCCTCCTCTGCCTGTCTCCTGGCATAGCACTGATCACTGCAGGCAGGGTCCACCCCGATAACCCAACACAGGTTCCTCTTCTCGGCATGTGTGCCTGAGCACGCATTTTGTCATACAAGGGAGTATTCAAACTTTCTGGGGGAATGGCATGTGAATATATATTTTTGAGGGGTGCTGCAGATCAGCTCTCTGCAGACATTTGGGGTAGCAATGTCAGCGAGGAAGAATATTTTTTAAAATGGTGATGCTGGTACCTGCAGGTGGGAAAATGGGTGCAGGACAGGAAGTGGGGCCAGATGTTCATGACAAAGGACTTTCTGGTCTGTGCAGTCGTGTCATTTATTGCATATCTGGAGAGTGCCTGCTTTGTGCTGATGCTGCTTAAAGTCTCATCTGAAATGCGGACCCAGGACCTACCACGTGAAGTGTGGAGCAGCAAAGCTTACAAAAGACTTCTCCCTGGGGAATCCTGCAGACCTGGCCTCGTGGGGACAGAATGCGGGAGGTGCCAGAGACTCTTCTCTGATGGCAGGTTTTGCACGGAGTCACGAGGAAAGGCAGTGGGGCCGGGGATCCCAGGACAGCATAGCTGGGCTGTGGGGAAGGCAGGCATGAGAGCGGCCTGTTGTGGTGTGAGGAAATTCGGATAGAGAGCCTAGAATGCTAAGACCCTGTGAAGGCAAAGGCCACCTGTAGAGAGCGAGCGGTGCCCACCTCGGGATCTGGGGAGGATTATGGGGCTGTGGAGGATGGTTTGGTGAACCTGAGGTAAAAGTGCTCTGCTTCTCTGCTTCATCCTTCCATCCAAAGGGTTCCCCCCGGCCCGACTGGTCCTCAGGACCCAGCTCCTCGGTGCACAGAGCCCGAGGCAGTTTCCAGATTTCCACAGGGCAGATTTGTGTGGACAGGACAGTGACTTCTCTGGCATTTGGTGTGCGAGAGTGGTGCGCTCTCTATCTTTTTTCTGTGTGGGTGGGAGAGTGGTGGGGGGTGCTCTCCTTCGGTCTATCTCAGCTGTAGAGGCAGTGGCATTCCATGCATCTGCTGTTTTCATCTTCTACAGAGTTCTCTCCACTCTTGGAACTCAATCCAGATCTACCGTGTGGGTGGCAGGGATCCAACTATTTGAGCCATCTTCATCTGCTGTCTCCCAAAGTCTGCACTGGTGGGAAGCTGGAATCAGGAACGGGACTGGCACTTGAACCCAGGCACTCTGGGTTGGTGCCTGGGTTCCCAGCTGGCATCCTAACCATTGGGCCAAATGCCTGCCTCTAATTTTAATTAAGAAAGCCAACACAGTCTAAAATATTCTTCCATGAAAAATGTTACTGCATGTAAAACATCTCATTAACATTTTAATTCCATGCTGAGATGGTATATTTTCGAACTAATAGGTTAAGTAATGAAGTACATAATTAAAAACCTTTCCTATTGTTTATTTCTACATTTTTAATGCACCAACTTTGAATTTCCAATCACCCACGATGACGTCTGTGTTTCTAGGACAGTCCTGTTCTACACTCATCTTCGATACAGTCTGGTTTTCCTAAACAGGAGTGACTTTTCTCGCCTTCGAACCTCCATGGCTCTTTAAATCTCTTAGGATACTTTTGCAAGAAATCTGCCAGGCTTCTGTTTGCCTGTCAGCAACCAATTTCCTCTTCTCATAGGCAATAGGATGCTCTTGTGGTATGGAGGCCTGATGACCCTCAGTGACATGTCTCACTACAGAGAACAGAGCAGCTGTCTCTGCTGGCCAGGGGTGGGGGGTGGACTCCCCCGACATTCTGCATCTTGAACAAGTGTTGCGAGGACACGAGTCAGTGTTCCTGCGACCTAGTTCTGGCTCTGCTTCCGCCCTACCTCCTTCCATCTGAAGGGTTCCCCACCCGACTGGCCCTCGGGAGCCAGGCTTTGGAAGGCACCAGGAAGGATGGGTCTCCTCACCGAGTCCAGTGCACAGCAATGCTTCTCTGAGCTGGGCTCATCAACATGTCACAGACTAGCTGAGGCTTTGGGTTCGTGGCAGGCAGAATGACAGCTCCCCAAGGATGTTCATGTGCTAATTCCCAGAGCCACTGAAGGTGACTTGCATGGCAAAAAAGGACAAAGAGGAATAAGTCAGGGGTCAGGAGGTGGGGAGGTCATCCTGGATTATTTGGGTTGCGACCAATGTACTCCCAAGGGTTCTTAACAGTAGAGACCCTTTCTCCGCTGGATCAGAGAGCTGGGATGACAGAATCAGGACCAGAGAGATGCTACGCTGCTGGCAGCCAAGGAATGGGGGAACTGGAACAGGCAAGGAAACAGGTGTGTGTTCCCAGGGCCTCTACGAAGGAACCCAAAGAGACTTCTGACCGACAGAATGTAAGATCATCAGTTTGTGTTGTCTTATGACTTCAGGTTTGTGATGACACGCCGGGGCAGCAAACAGGACACCAACACAAGATCCACCTCTTCCCTGGAGAGGACATTGATCGACAGCCCTTCCACCCCAGCATCCTTTGGGGGAAGGGAGGGAAAGTTCTCGTATGCCAATCAAGTGGCCCTAGCCAATGAGGGGACAGGCAGAATGTGGGTGCCTACCGCACCCAAGCACCACAGCCCTGGCACATTGTTTAATCAAAACCTGTCAGTTAAATTTTTCGGGTCAGTTGAACATTCCAGGTGAGATGCCTGAAAGATACAGAAGGAAGTTTTAGAAGCAATGCAAAGCCAATACTTACACACACACACACACACACACACGGACAAAACTCGAACTTAAAAATTCCAACATTTGTCATCAAGACTAATGAGACCAGAAAAGGACCGATTCTTCCTCGGTATATAAGGAGGAGCGAACTCAGCCAGCTTCCTTAGCACCTACTCTGTATGGACCTGTTCCGCATGAGACCAAAGCCATGGTTTGCCAGTTTCGGAATGCAGAGAACACTCAGGGGAGGCGATAAAGGGGATTTACCACACCTGTCCACAAAATCCCCGCTGGGATCATTCAAGCTCACTGGGAAGATGCGAGGGAAAGGATGCATGCCACGCCACCCCCCAAAAAGCAAGGCTGCTGCTCAACACTGCCTCGTCTCGGCTTCTGGATGCCTGGTCCCACCCCCACAACAGTGTAACAATTCCAGGGAACACAAGCGTCATTCTCGAGTGCAGCGGAATGTGGCCAGCTCGCAACCCAGCTAAGAGCTTCACTTTTCTGCGGTGCTCAGGTGGCAGGAGGGTACCTCTGCCCCCTTTTTCAAGGCGGATCTTTGCTGTGCACAATTGCTGCCGTGCAGTATTCCATTGGGAGTGAGCGTGTTTGTTCCTCGTTGTGGGGATGTGAGATAGGAGCAGAGGAAAAGCAGGCATGGAAAGTCTAGGCTAGGACACTTCAGACTGCTGGCCATCTAGAATTATCCGGGCAGCTCTCAATCAATCAATCAAGACGTTTACTTTCAGAACTCTGGACATGGGAGCCCCTGGCCCCTGAAGCCTCTTAAGGGTTCCCCTAAATTAACTGCAGCATCTGGCGGGTGCTGCCCGAGCTGAGAGCCTGCACGGCTGTCACTGCGTGGGTCATCAGCTGGGTGGCATTGGCTCAGGGAGGCGTGGCTTGCAAACCGGGTCCCCACGCTGCATCCTCTGCGGGCGCCTGGGACCCCTCATTTCACCCTCTGCAAACGGTCCGACGCTCCCAGGGCCGAGCAGCAGGGTTTGAGGAGGAGGGGGTCAGACGGGCAAGAGAGCAGAGACCCCCACCCCGGAAACCTGCTTTCGGCGGCTCCCTACCCCCTACCCTGGGCAGCCTGGGCCGAGGGCACCGTGGAATCAGCAGACAGGGGGAGTGGCAGGTGTGGGGCGCTGGGTGTGGCTGGCTCCACGTTCGAGAACATTCCCTGGGCGGCGGGGAGAAGTGGCAGGGTAGGGGAGGGGTCTCTCAAGGTACAGCTTCTTCCTTCCTGCGGGGCTCCGGCGTCGTGGACAGGAGCGCGGCGGCCGCGCTGGGAAGGGAGGCCGTGGCTCCCGCCGCACGCACGGAGAGCGCGCTGTTGGATTTCCGGCTCCCGCCGAGGGGCGAGCGCGGGCTGGGGGCGCGCGCACCACCGTGGGGCCGGGCGTTCGCGCGCGGCCCCGGCCTCGCCGCCTCCTCCCACTGCGCCGCCGGCGCTGCCCGGGGGCGGGGATTCGCGCTGCGGAGGCCGGAGACGCGGAGACGCGGCGGCGGCGCGGGCTGGAGCGCGAGGCCGGCGGCGGGAGAGCGGCCCGGGCGGCCGCGGGAGCCGCGGGAGGAGGTGAGTGGGCGGCGGCGCGCGTGCGGACCGCGGCCCCTCTCCCCGGGCCCGCGCGCGGCGTGCGCTCGGGGCTGCAGCCGTGGACCGGGCGCGCTCGAGGCGAGCTCCGCGCCTTCCCGCGCTGGGGCAGCCTGCGGCCGCTAGGTGCCTCGGGCCGGAAGCGCGGCCCCTGGACCGCGCGGCGAGGCGAGGTCGCGGACGGGGCAGCTGGTCTCGGGCGGTGCGGGGCCGAGCCGTGACCCGCGAGCCGGGCACCCAAAGTCAAGAGCGTGCGCCCGCCAAGTGGCGCGGGGCGCGCGCGGGCCCGGGGCGGCGGCTCCGCCAGCCTTCCTGCGTGCGCCCCGGGCGGGCGCCCACGTTGCCGCGTCCTGGGAAGGGGCCCCTGCATTTCCCGGCCTTTTTCGGGTACCTGCGCCGCTTCCCACCTGGGCCGACGCCTACCTAGGAGCCGCGCAACTTTTTTGTCGCGTTGTCAGAACAGTCGGCTGCGTTCCTGGGACTCTGTGATTTCCACGCCCTACTTAATGCGTTTGATGATTTTTTTTTTTTTTTTTAAAGCAAGAGTGGGTGAATGTTCTTTTAAATGGAACTTAAGAGTCATTATATTTGGAAGGCCGCAACGCTGGGTATTTTGGGATGTCTCGTCTCCCAGTTTCAAAGGCAGAGTTGTGTGGCTCTGGCGGTTGGTGGTGGTGTGTGTGGGGGTGCGGGTTTCTTTGTGTTTTGGGGGCGGTCTGTGCGCCCGCCCCACGGCCCTCAGTGGGTGCAGATACTGAGCAGCAGTGCTGATTCGGGCTACTGAGATGCGCTGCTGGAATATTTAGGATGGCTCGTGGCCACCAGATGGGCTCAGCTTTATCCAGTGGTAGATTCCTGAATCTGGGGAGCAGTGCAGTTGTTTGGTCGGTCCTTGTGGGTCTCCAAAGGCCTTCTAGCTCTTTCTACTTGTGTTAAAAAAATTTTAAAAATTTAAAATTAAGCTGTTGAAGTATTTTACTTTCTTAGTAAATAGAAAGAAAATAAAAAAGAAGCCAGTAAATAGAAACTCGCCAGGGCTTCGCACCCAGAGGGGCCAGACATTCCTCCTCTTAAGGAGTCCGTGGTCAAGAAGGAATTGAATTCTTAGGCTGGTTAAATAAGAGAGGTCAGCTTAGCTTCGGGCGTGTGCTTCGTTCTCCTACGGGAGAGGTGACCACAGTTCTTCCGTTTCTCCTGGGGTTTAGCACAAGCATTGAAGAGGAAAGGGGTGCTGGGGAGCCCCCCGGTGCAGCCATCCAGTGCCTTCTGAGCGCTGTGATAGGCGCAGGTGTCGGCCGGAGGTGTTTAAGGTTCTGCACCTGCATCTGTTTTCTGTTTTGTGAGAGGTGAGTTTGAAACACGGGTGAGGGTTGGCCACGCCAGGCCAGGGCTACATGCAGTGGTTCAGTGTTTGAGTAGTACCCGCCTGCCCGCACCCAGCACGGCTTCCCCCCAGAAGCAGGGAAGGCAGAGGCTGGGGGAGATGCCCAGGCATGGGCTACCTTCAGGGATGAAGCCCTGCATTCAGCAAGTGGCCCTGAGAGTATCTCCCCCACCCTCACCCCCACCCCCAGGGGTTCCCACCCTGAGCCAGGTCCTGAATTCCAGCTGCCCTGGGGCGTTGAGGAAGGGGCGGGGGCACAGATGCTGGAGGCAAGTTCTGTGCCTTCCGCTTTAATTCCTTTGCTGTACTCCTGTGGTGTTTTTTTTTTTTTTTGGTTTTTCCTTAAAAAGTTGCTTTATTTATTCTTTTTAATGACCTCATGTGAGAACTAACCTCCGTAATAGATTATTCTTAAAATAAGCACTTCTATTTTGAAAAAAAAATTCTAAATTTCTAAGCAGGTGCAAAAAGTAAAAGGGACGGTGTTGATGTGCGTTGGCTGTCAGCTGAGCAAAGAGTGAATGGCATTTCACTTGCTCTCCCTGTCCCCCCCAAAAAGGATTCTTACAGACTGAATTCGTTTCTTTTTTAGATTTTACAAGTTACTGATGAAATGCTGTTAGGCAAGAGACTGGTTTGCAGGTTTAAGACGTGTTTCCAGGGGTGGGCATTGTGGTGCAGTGGCTTAAGTTGCCACTTGGGGCACCTGCTTCTGATCCAGGATTGCTGGTTTCTGTCCTGGCTTGGGAGGCAGCAGGTGAAGGGTCAAGGACTTGGGTCACTGCTGCTCCCTGAGAGTCCCGGATGGAGTCCCTCAGCCCCTGGCTTTGGCCTGGTCCAGCCTGAGCCAGGCTTGGCTTTGCCAGGCATTTGGGGAGTGAACCAGTGGATTCAAGATTTCTCTTTCTGTTGCTCTGCCAAATGAATGAATGGGTAAATAAACTTGTTTTTAAAGATTGATTGATTTGAAAGGTAGAATTAGAAAGAGGGAGCGACAGAGAGAGATGATCTTCCATCCACTGGTTCACTCCCCAAATGGGTGCAACAGCTGGAGCTGTGCCATTCTGAAGCCAGGAGCCAGGAGTTTCCTCCGGGTCTCCCACGCAGCTGCAAGGGCCCAAGGACTTGGACCATCCTCTGATGCTTTCCCCAGGTACATCGGCAGGAAGCTGGATCAGAAGCAGAGCAGCCAGGACTTGAACCAGCGTCCATATGGGATGCCAGCATCCAAGGCAGTGGCTTAACCCGCTGCACCACAGCCTTGGCCTAACAGACTTTTAAAAAGGTGTTTTCTGGGCAATCATTGGGCGCAGCGGGTTCAGCTGCTGCTTGGCAGTGTCTGCACCCTACGTTGGGGTTCCCGTCTTTGAGTCCCAGTGAAAGTGGCAGCAGATGGCTCAGGTACGTGGGTCTTTGCCACCCACGTGGTGGTGGTGGTGGTGGTGGTGGTGGTGGTGGTAGGGGCCGCTGGGTGGAGTTCTTGGCTTCCGGCTTCAGCCTAACTCGGACCTAGCTGCTGCAGCCTTTTGAGGAGTAAACAGTGATTGGAAGATTGATTTCTGTCTGTTACTCTGCTTTTCAGGAAAATGAATATTTTTAAAGGGTGTTTCCTAGTTCCCCCGTCTCCTTGGCTTCATAGATATTTCCCAGAAAAAATTCCATGCCTTCTCAGATTTTTACAGTTTTTTTTTTTTTGACAGGCAGAGTTAGAGAGTGAGAGAGAGAGAAAGAAAGGTCTTCCTTCCATTGGTTCACTCCCCAAAATGGCTGCTATGGCGGGCGCGCTGTGACGATCCAAAGCCAGGTGCTTCTCCCAGGTCTCCCATGCGGGTGCAGGGCCCAAGCACTTGGGCCATCCTCCACTGCACTCCCGGGCCACAGCAGAGAGCTGGCCTGGAAGAGGGGCAACCGGGACAGAATCCGGCGCCCTGACTGGGACTAGAACCCGGTGTGCCGGCGCTGCAGGCGGAGGATTAGCCTAGTGAACCGCGGTGCTGGCCGATTTCTAGTTTTTTTTAAAATAGATTTATTTATTTATCTGAAAGGCAGATTTGCAGAGGCAGAGAGAGGTTTTCCATCTGCTGGTTCACTCCCCAGATGACCACAACAGCCGGAGCTGAGTCCATCCGAAGCCAGGAGCTTCTTCCGGGTCTCCCATGTGGGTGCAGGGCCCAAGGACTTCGGCCGTCTTCTGCTGCTTTCCCAGGCCACAGCAGAGAGCTGGCTTGGAAGTGGAGCAGCCGGGGCTCAAACCGGCATCCATATGGGATGACAGCACTGCAGGTGGCGGCTTTACCCGCTGCACTACTGCCCCAGCCCCAGATTTCTACAGTTTTTTTAGAAATAATTTTAGAAAATTATTTATTTGAAAGGCAGAGTGACAGAGGGGGAGACACACACACACACATACACATACACATGCCTGCACACACAGCAAGCCACTTGTTTCTACAATTTTTAGAAAATGATTTATTTATTTGAAAGAGTGACAGAGGGGAGAGACAGAAACACACAGCACAAACACACACACCACACCACACCACACCACACCACACAGCAAGCTACTTGTTTCCGTCTGCTGGCTCACTCCCGAAATGTTTGCAGCAGCCAGGTCTGGGCCAGGCTGAAGCCAGGAGCCCTGAAATCTATTACGGTCTCCCGTGTGTGTGGCAGGGGCTCAAGGACTTAGGCCCTCTTCCACTGCTTTCCCAGGTGCATTGGCAGGGAGCTGGGCAGAAGCAGGGCAGTCAGGACTGGTACCCCCACTATGATATGGGGTGCTGGCATTGTAGGCAGCTGTAGCTGAACTCGTTACCCCACAGCAGTGGCCCCGATTTCTATGATTTGACTTTATTTTTCTTTACCACTCTTAAAGGTTGTATTAAAAATACGATGCTTTCCCTGCTAAGATTTTGAAAATCAGTACCTTAGAGGAAAAAAACCGAAAACGTACAGATAGAAATACTATGAAAAATGATTGTAGTGGTTTATATTGCAATTTGTTGCAGTTTCCAAACATTTTTGAGAATTCTCAGTAGTAAGAAAAATGGCAACAATCAGCACTCCTGTGTGTGTGACTTTTCCTAAGTCTGTGCACAGTGCTACTATGGTTTTATTGTATCCCAAGGCCAGCATATACTTAGGGCTGGATTCATGGTTACTGACAATGGAGGTAAAATCCTATTTCAAATACTCTTTGTGTTAATTTTGAGTATTTTTCAGCCTGTTTCTTGCATTCGTTCATATAACTTTAACTTGTTCTTTTTATAGGAATCTTAACAGCTTCCTGTTCTTTGTAAGCATCCCTTTAGGTATTTTGACCGTTAGTCTGCCTCACTGTGCTGAGAGGAGAGGAGAGGGTGTGGGTGGCCCTGTCGGAGCTCCTCAGGCTCCTCCTTGGGGTGCAGCACGTGGCCTGCAGGCAGGGAACAGGGGATGCAGAGGGCTTTCTGTATCAGTACTACTAGTATAGTCGTGGTGCTGTATTCACCGTGATGTAATGCAGTATAAAACCGCAGTACTCACAGGACTCCGATAGTTCAGCAAGTTCATAGAAAACAGAATTAAAAGGTAAGTTTATTTTGTGCAAGAAAATGGA